ACCTCGAGTTTGGTGTGTATGTATGGGTGTATGTATGAGTGTAATAACATGTAATCGTGCTTACATACACAGTGCTATGTATACCTTTCTACCTGGAATACTGTATCGTTTACAAGGATCTCTACAGACTACCAAATTACAATTTGATTTTGTACACGTTTAGAACCTGTTCACCAGGAGATATCCGCGAATGTTCCGGACTCTATCGTATTACACAATATTATTTATATTCTGCGATTGACGATTAACGTTACACATTAATGCTCTCGTTCGCGTCGCGATATTTCATTAGATTCACTATAAGCGTCACACTTAGCGCGAAAGAGAGTACGCGAACTTTTAGGGGTCCTCTTCGTAATAAAAAAAAAAAAAAAAAGAAAAGAAAAAATAAGCTATGTACATTCATTCGTCCATTGCAAAGAGACGCGTGATTAATCTAATACCGTAAATGTATCTATATCTACGTGCCTCTTTAATCCTTAACTACAGCGGCAGACTCCTGAGGATATAGTTAAATCACTGCTCCCTTGAGGTTTCGTATAATTTTTTTTTAGTTCCCCCACTGCATTTCGATGTATTTAAAATCACGAAAATATGTAGTACCTAATGATGGATGTACCTATAGAGACCATATTATTTTTTTATATAATTACCGTAAATAAATTTAATCCCATTAAGTAGCATTATTTCTATTGTCATTTGTTTTCCACATCAATCTGGTAAAGATTAAACTTTCTTGACGGTAGTTACATAAAAATATAAATCTATCTAATAATAATACAAAATTATCGCGTCAAATACGGATTTTTACATCGTCATTAGATTTGTCCGTAGATATATCCATCGTTATATCATTCGATTTTCCAAATAATATCGTGCTTTTCAATACAATGCGATTATGTATAGAATCCTCAGAATTTTGCAGCGTCAGTTGTATAACACCGACGAGGGTGCTCCGGTCGAGGATTGATATGCAAGCCGTGAGCATCGCTCTCTTGCGCGAGGCTCTTCATCTTCTGATGCACAGCACTCGAAATGATATACTCGTTTACTTATGCGTAACTTTAAATTTAACCCTTCCACCCGGTCGATCATTCTAGGCGTAACATTGTCAGGTCAAACGGCTATCGTCCATAGGAAATTTTCTGACCCTTCGCGAACTACAAACTATTTAATCTCTGTACGTCGCGTTTACACACATCCTTTTTATCTTATTTTCAATTCTGCAGTCTAATCTACGGTCCTCGTTTAAATCCTACCGTGGACCCTCAGCCTTGTCTAGCGCCAAGTCTAGAACTCGGTTTGTATATTCTTTATTTTTCTAATTACATTTAGCGCAAATGGAAAAGGGTTAAATGTAAAGGTCGATCGTCGAAGGGACGTCTTTTAAAACTACATCCCATTCGCTACGTTTCGACCCGGACGTATTCTGGATCGAAGATAAGCGAAGGGGATGAGTTTAAACGAGTGTTCGTTGTAATACGTTCTATATACGTCTTACTTTACCGGAGTTTAGCGCGCGGGTAAAGTGTCAGAAAATAAGCGACAGTCTGGTATGCGTGTTCAACGTGCGTCCTTTTACGACGTGCCGTTAAACTCACGCTGGAGCGGAATTTTCATCAGGAGAGTATCGTTTTGTCGAGATGTATCCCTTAGGAAACGATATTGCTGTTATAATTCCTTAAAAATGAAGATGCACTTTCCTCCTTTTTATATTTTCTCAACATTTTATTGCATATATTTTCTAAAGAAATAAAAACGCAAGACAGCGAACAAAAATAACAATAAATTTCCATTAAAAAGTGGCTACACAAAAAATTTTAATATCCAATGAAAAGAAAGCGTATTTTGTTAGAGATACTAATAAAATATATTCAAAGATTGAGCTACGTCGTTGCTTAACGTTGCATAATTTATCCATTATCGATATGGATAAATTATTATTAATTTTTGTAATGGTTTAGAGATGTTTTTTATTGTAAAAAAGAAAGTTTGAAATAAAAATATTTACACAATTGTACATACGCGTATATGAAAATTTTTTAAAATCGATATTGTCATTGAATGGACTTTTTATTCGCAAGTTCATTCTCAAGGAATTTTATATATATATATATTTATATATATTTATCTATAAAACTGTATGATATGGTTACACATCCTAAATTGCTTAGCGCGACTACTTACGTTTTCTTAGGTCCTGTTCGCTAAATCAAAAATTTGTATGATAAATTTTTCAGATAGATAAAAGAGTGATGTATATTCTATGTGCACTCTCTAAACTTTTTTTCATATATGTATAATTACAATATATAATAATATTACTAATAATATATACTTCATTAATATTAAGAAAAATTGAAGAATTATTTAATGAAATAATAAAAAGATAATATAATAATAATATTACTAGGAATATACTTTAATAGTATGTGATGTAAAAACAATTTTACACTTCTCCCATAAAGAAGAATCAGGGGGACGAGAATAAAATAATCTATATTGTTGGAACAAAATCGCAACTATAAGTCCAAGTATAATAACGAAACGACGAAAGCGACGTATGCGTCGCTTAGCTTAGTACCTCTTTATCTTTTCGTTTTCACGCATTCCTCTCGACGTCGATACGTTGTCCCTTACGATCGACAACAGTTTCAGCGAGACCGTTTCGTCATCGGCGATCGCCGCGAGGATCATCCTCGTCTGCGTTTGCCAACCGAAACCCCTTTTTAAAACGATACGCAACTTATCCCCTAATCGTATTGTAACAAATATTGCCTCGAATATATATAAACTTTGTTTTCCTTATTTAAATTATCTCTCATTTTTACGTTAGGTCTCTCGTTCTCTCCCTCTCTTTCTCTCTCTCTCTCTCTCTTTCTCTCTCTCTCTCACGGATAATGGACAAAACGGCGGGTATATTCACGCATCTCAAGGGCGCGTATTTCGGCCCTTATTATCTTACGTTACGTATGGCCGAGTCTCAAAGAGTCTATTATTTATTTAGTTTAGTAGTAGAGTCGTTTGGTTCGCATCGCGCAAAATTTGTTCGGAGATCTAAAACCATTCTTATAAAAACGCCCCTCGGCCCGACAAAATATTACCGAGGGACACTAATATATTGTGTGTCATCGACTTCATTGTTCTTATGTGTTTTTTTTTTTTTTTGTTTCGATATATATAAAATTCTCAATTTTCGCGCAGCCCGCGATCTGATCAAAAGCATACGAATGCCAATGTGACGCTCGTCGAGCGCGTGTTTATGCACATGAACGTACGCGCACTGGTACGTGTCGTCTCGTCGCAACCTGAACACTACAGCTTTGGGGGAGGGAGCGGGGGAAATTCCTTCGTTTGTTTATTCGATCGGAGAAGCGGAAGTGTAAATGGGAATAATGAAAACAATTTAATTCTCTTAATTGATAGCAGTCTAAATGACTTTATTGTTAACGCTTAGAACCCGCGAGAAGCCTCGTGCAACGAAAATCATCGAAAAGCACAATTAAAAAATTTTTACTGCCGAGCGTAAAAACTTCTGATATGAAAAACAATCATATCCAATCGTGAAAATAACTCTCATCCGGGAACCAAAATAATTGTTTTCTTACACATAAAATATATGTTTGTAAGAAAAAAATTGTTCTTTTCATTTTATTCTCTTCAAACAAGAGTATTAGTTAAAAAGTGTGTCGACTACTTTCTTTTATTAGGAATTATAACAAGTTAAAGTTAAGAAATAGAGAAATTTCAAGACAAAATATATCAACAATTATATTTTAATCAAAGTATATATAATTATNNNNATCAAAGTATATATAATTATATATATATATATACTTTTGTATTTATCCAATTTAATTTTTTTATGAAGCAAGAAAAAACATGATTATTGCCTCATTAAAGAAAAATTTTCAATTGTATATATTCAGTAATATAACTATCTTATATTACAAAAGTGATGTAAGAATCTTAGAGTTTATATTTATTTATAGATTCAATTTTTTTATGGCCCCAATCGAAATTTTCGCGTTTTTAACGATAATATATTAAGGAATAAATCCAAAAGTCGCAGAAAATAGTTGTATGCTCGTGGAAGTATATGAATTATCACGTTGTTGCAGCAAGCTCTTTATGTAAAAATTTTACACTGATTGCTCTTTTTTCAGAATTCATTAAATGATTATTCCATACGAAATCGTCATTTGCATTAGAAAACAAATTTATCCGGATGAGTGTTATTGAAATGTAATATTAAAAAACTTAATATAAAGTAAACGATGAAAAAAATTGCGCGATGCTTGCTGCGGGCCGAGGATATTACGACGATAGAGTAACGCGTTATCAATGACATTCAAAGCAGATGCTGCATTTTGCAGCAAGTCGCTCAGTTCTCGAAAAACACGAATGATTCAGATCATCTTCTGAACACTCTCTTAAATTGTATCCCATGTTTAATAAGTGGTCGCCAAGAAATCTCCGGTTCATTTTATTGGATCCCACAAAGTATGGTCATCGAGGAGCACGTGCCTCGGTTTCAGAATTAATGTCGTGCATCGCGCACGTGGATTTAAGATAAGTCGACCGTAAATACGAGCGAACGAGCGAGCGAGAGAGCGTCTCGTCGCGGTCGTGAGACATCATATATACGTCCGGGCTTCGCGGAAGCAGCGCCCACCTGTCTGCTTCACGAGCAACCACAACGGATTTCGCACTTTTCGCACTCCAGGTTTCGGAACCCGCGGTCTTCAGAGAAGATTGTCTCCGACGGTCTTCAATCTTCCAGCTGCCCCTCTTCTGAGAGATTCGATCTTCCTCGGATGATTCTTCTTCCGAAGAAGTTAGACCGTCTTCGAGCCATTCCGCTACCACCAAAAAGAATTTTACCTTGTTCAATCTGTCCATTTCCCGATAGTTTTCCATCTTCTTCCAGTCATTCTAAGAAGGTGCCATCTCCTTTCAACAGTTTCTTTTTTGATAGATCATGCTTTTAGATGTTTGAGAAGAATCAAATTTCCTCGGACTATTCTTCTTCTCGAGGAAATAGACTTTTCGTGAGTTGTTTTTTTTTTTCTAAAACGATTTCTTCAAGTCATTCCATCTTCTTCGACCTATCTTTTAGTTAACGTAATGTTATTTTCCTTCACCTTCTAGGAAATTTCTTTTTTTTTTTCTCTTCGATTCAATCTTCTTTAAATCGTCTATCTTATGAAATGGTTCAGCCTTGCTTGAAAGAGCTTTCATTAAAAAAAAAAAAATTTCTCATCAATCCACATCGATTCCTTGAGAGTGAAATTTCAATGATGATCGTGCGCGCGTAGCTCCTCGCGAAGCGTACCGGTTTACTTCCAAGCCCTTGATATGTGTATGCGCGCCGGAGACCACTGATCTCCGAGCTATATACAGAGTCTCCGGGAATGAAGCACGACGTCGTTGCGAGGATTGTGAATCGTTGACTGAAAAATCCTCGCGACTCCAACACTAGCGTCGCGATGCCGCCACCGATATGTCGTCGTACTTACCGCAACTGTCGTCGAATACCGAATACCATGTCTGATCCGCGTTGACAATTGTTTCTGGTGGGACCCGGCACTATCACGGTGCCGAGTTACACACTATGTCATCGGCAATTTTCCCAACTTTTCGACCGCGACGGCGAAGATCCCTATCGTATCTAGGACAACCTGCCCCAGGTACACGAAATCCTTCTTTAGGAGTCCAGTAGACCCGCGGGAGAATCGATCAGTTTTTCTACCGATATGTCGCGTTCAATCGAAAATTAATATCGTTACGATGTATAATTTCTCTTTCGCCGCGACAATCGATGTTCCGATTATTCTGCCCGTGTACGGAAGGTTCGTTCTCACCCGATCTCGCTGGCGCGCGCGTTCGTCTCACCCGTTTAGTGGATGGGCCCACCACATCAATAGGGCCAGAAAGTGGGTAATGGGGGCGGGGGAGGTGGAGGTACGGTCGGATAAAGGGTCGGGGTGGCTATTAGGAGACAGGTGGGCGGCGGTAAAGGTGGTGGTACTGGCGGTGGCGGCGGTAGGACCGGGGATAATGTTATCGTTGCGGCTGCGGGGTGCAGGGCCGTGCCCGCCGTCGCGGGGGCACACAACGGGTGCAGGGCGGCGAGTGAGGGGCGCTGGCGCTGACGCTGACGCTGCTGGCCCTGGACCTCGCCGTTCTATTCCGAGTCCTGCTGCATTTTGACGTGGCCATTACCGGCGGAATTGCTCGACGCGCTGCCGCTGCTGGGTGGGAAGCTCGTGGGTATGGTGCGCGACGACGAGAAGCAGAGTTTCATGATGTAGGGA